TGGAGTACTATGGGAAGATAAAGAACAATGATGAATCTGTGAAGCATCCCACAACATGGATTAAACTGCAGGACATTATGCTGAGTGAAATAAGTCAATCACAAAAGGACAAATATTGTATGAGACCTGTATTCTAAAAACCCATGGAAAAGTTCACACACAAAAAGTAACCATCTTTTTTGGTTACCAGGGCTGGGAGGGGTGGGGGGAAAATACTAAATAGGCAATAGATAAGTGGTATCTTGGGTGAAGGGTGAGACAGTACATGATACTAGGGAAACCAGCACAGCCTGTACAAGAAAAGGTCAAGGAAGCTCCAGAGACACATCGAAACTCCCTGAGGGACTGAATTGCTGGGTGGAGGGCTGTGGGGACCATGCAAATATTTTTTGTTTATCCTTTTAATTTTCATATTTTTTCTGGCATATGCATCAAAACTATCTTTTCATTTATTTTAAAGGAAAATAAGTTTTAACCTAAGAAAAACATACTATAATACATGGCAAAAAAATTCGAACACTACCGAAAAATTAAAGTTTCTACCTTCAAGCCCCATCCCTCCACAAATACATTTTTGAATTTGAAGAAATGAAATCACACTGTACATACTAATCCTATTTTGTTTTTCTTCCACTGAGTATCTTGGACACTTTCTGACGTATCATCTACAAAATTCAAAATTTTCTTTTTTAAAAGCTGCATAGTATTCCAACATATGGACGTACCATAAATAAATTAACGGATTCTCAGTGACGGTCATATAGGTGGTTACCAGTTGGTTTTTTTCGTTTGTATAATCAGTGTTGCCATGGCTCTATAGACCAGAAAGCAACATCTTAGTTCCCTTTTCCATAATTGATGGAATCAGAGTGTCAGCCTTCCTGTAATAATTTTTGTTATTTTTGTATTCATTGTGTGCCTTCACAACTGAATCATACTTCAGGTAAAACTTTAACTTTTTACTCTGATCTATTATGGACCAAAGTGTACCCTGAAGATATTTTTATGTGCCTTAGACAAAGCAGTTCATTTTTAGAATTTAAAGTTTAAATCCTCTAATTGTGGTAAGTTTGACCTCAGTTTTTTTTTCAGTTTAGGATGCCTTATTCTATTATATTGTACTTGAAATCTGGGCTCTTCTGACTGAATCTGAGATGTAAAAATATATGATATGCAATCGATTTTATCCAAGTTAATATAAATTATACCAATGTTAACTAAAAAGTATTTTCCAATAAATGATCTAATTTATGCTTTACATAAAATAGCTTCTTCCATTGAAACTAATGTTGTCAATACTCTTGTACTATTTCCTTTAATTTAAGCTTATTTATTTGCATGAGAGAAGACAGACTTTCATTTACTTCTTGGCTATTAGGTCAAACTCAAAGACACCATGTCTTCTTTATTATGGTTAATTTTTCCTAGTCTTGCATGAAAGTTACGAACTCTCTTTTCATAATTTCTCCATTTTGTATATCCCATTTCTATTCCAACTGAATGAAGAAACTAAAACTGTGAGTTTAAGTAGAATACTGGCTCTTTAAGGAAAGAACTTTGTTCTATTCATCACCATATCCCTGGGGTCCTAAGCCTGTGCTTGGCATATTAACATACCTTCTATAAATATTTGTTTAATAAAAGAATATTTTTAATTCCTAGTGGCAGAATCAATGATCAAAGAGCATTATGTTTAAAAATGGGTGATACTTCCAAATTGCCTCCCAGAAAAATACACAAATTTACAAATACACCTAGAATCAAACAGGTTTCCATAAAGAATGTCTGAAAATGATTTTATTCTCACACTTAATGGTTTAGATGGATCTTAGATATATAGATATAGATAAGTATAAATTTCTCTCAGAACTTTGTCAGCCTTTTGGCTTCCAAGCTAAAAGAACTGTCCGCCATCCCAATTCTTCAACCTTTGTATATGAAGTATTTCTTTCTCTCTGCAGGCTTTTTGGAATCTTCTTCTTATTTATTCTTGGTATTCTAAAATTTCAAAAGAATATGCCTTGGTGTAGGTTTCTTTTTATTCATGTTTCTTGACACCTGTTATTTATTATACTTGCAATCTCTAATTCTGTGGCTTTCAATTCTAAGAAATGTTCTCACTATTTCTCTCATAACTACTTCCCTTCCAATTTTTGTTCTTTCTGATAGTCCTATTTTAAAGGTATTGGACAGCCTGCACTGGTGCTCAATTTTCTTACCTTTTCTCTCCTATTAAACATCTGTTCATCTCTTTGAACTATTTTCTGGGAAATTACTTCAACTTTACCTTTCAGTATTTCTATTTAATTTTTTAATTTCAGCTACCATATTATTTAATATCCTGGAACCCTTTTATTTTATGATTTTTAAAATAGCATTCTGTTCTTTCATGGATGCAACATTGTCTCATTTCGTATTAAACCAAACAAACTAAACCCATTGTCGTCGAGTCAATTCCGACTCACAGTGACCCTATTGGACAGAGTAGAACTGCTCCTTAGCGTTTCCAAGGAGCAGCTGGTGGATTTGAACTGCCAACCTTTTGGTTAGCAGTCAAGCTCTCTAACCACTGCAACATCAGGGCTCCCATTTCTTAGTACGGTTTGAAAATTTTCTCCAGCTTTTTTTTTTTAATTTTATTTTTTCCCATACAAAAATTTATACATACATTGTTATGTGACTCTAATTGCTCTCCCCATACTGTGACAGTACACTCTTCCTTTCTGCCCGATTCCCCATGTCCATTCAACCAGCTCCTAATGCTCTCTGCCTTCCTACCTCACCTCCGGACAGAAGCTGCCCATTTAGTCTTCTATATCTACTTGAGCTAAGAGGCACACTCCTCATGAGTATCACTTTATGTCCCACAGTCCAGTCCAATCCCTGTCCGAAGAGTTGGCCTCGGAAATTGTTCTAGTTCTGAGATGATGGAGAATCAGGGGCCATGCTTTCCAGGGTTCCTCCAGTCTCAGTCAGACCATTAAGTCTCATCTTCTTACTAGAATTTGAGTTCTGTACCCCTCCTTTCTCCTGCTCCATCTGGGACTCCGCTGTGTTCCCTGTCAGGGCGGTCATTGGTGGTAGCTGGGCACCATCTAGTTCTTCTGGTCTCAGGCTGATGAATTCTCTGGTTTACGTGGCCCTTTCTGTCTCTTGGGCTAATTCTTTCGTTGTGTCTTTGGTGTTCTTCATTCTGCTTTACTGCAGGTTGCTGGGACCAATTGATGCATCTTAGATGGCCCTTGCAAGCTTTCAAGACCCCAGATGCCACTCTCCAAAGTAGAATGCAAAATATTTTCTTAATAAGCTTTGTTATGCCAATTGACCTAGATGTCCCCTGAAAGCATGGTCCCCAGACCCCTACCCCTGCTACTCTGTCCCTTAAAGTTTTTTTTTTTTTTTTAATTGTACTTTAGATGAAGGTTTCTCCAGCTTCTTGAATTGTCTCACTTTCCTCTCAGTTCCTATATTTCAGATTCTATCTCTCATGATGGTGATCTTTAGTAATCCTAATTAAGAGAAGCACAAAAAGCAGACTGGAAACTTTGGGTGCATAGGTGGGTCTTGTAGACTGCTGAGCTTCATAGAAGTATGATCAAGACAATCTCTGTTTAGTTGCTAACCTACAAACTTGCCTGAAGGTATTTTTCTCAGGCTACTCAATTTCTCTAGGAACTAACCCACCAATCTCTTGCTTCAAAAACATGGTGGGAGGAGAAAGGAAGCAGTTATGGTAGAAATATGCCTCACTACTAGCACTCTGGGGGGTTGTAGTGGCTCATTGGTAGAATTCTTGCCTTCCATGTGGGAGACTCAGGTTAGATTCCTGGCCAACTCAAGTTCAGCCATCACCCATCTGTTAGTGGAGGCTGGTACACTGCTATGATGCTTTGATGGAAGCTATGAAGCTTCCAGCCCAAGACAGACTAAGAAGAAAGGCCTGGTGATCTACTTCCAAAAATCAGCCAATGAAAACTCTTTGGATCACAACATTCTGATCCACAACCTATCATGGGAAAGGCAAAGAACCAGGCAGTGTTTCTTTCAGTTGTGCACGGGATTGCCATGAGTTAGGGATCAACTCCACAGCAACTAACAACAACTAGCGTTCCGGAAGCTAAGCAGAAATACCACTACTCACTATTTGTACCTTCACTTGTTTACCCTGACTTTAGTATGTGTCTCATTCTCTGCCCTCAGCTACGTGTGGTGTCCCTCAATTTGGAATTGCTACAGATCAATTTCACCTCATTAAAGCTCGTTTGCTGCTGGGGTGAGGTATTAAACTACTTCTTATTACTTTCAACGAACATCCTTCTTTTCAACCCTATGCCTCACCCTTCTCTTCTGTGATACATGATATCTCCCATTCTTGAGCCTTTCTGGTGTTCTGCAGCTGTAACTGGCTCGCTTCTTACTGGCATTTGCTCCTCAGGCATTCTAAGCTCTGTGAAAACCAGGTCCATCTTTCAAAATTTGTTCACATTGCCTGTCCATCTGTTGTCTCCTTGTTTTCTTGACCCTTATGGATTTAATCTTTTCTATTTCCATACTCTCATTTAAGTGGAATTTCAGAGGGAGCAGAGAAAGGAAGATTCAGTTTGTCATGTTTAACTCTAAGCCCTTCTACCTTTCTGTACACAGAAACAAGGCTTAAAATGTAAATAATGATGGAAAATGTATTGGCAGAAAAAGAAACCACAAAATGGCTGATTCAGATATTTCTCTGAAATGAAGTTTGATAAGGGTAGGACAAGGAGAACAGGAAGACAGTCAAGAGCTCAAAGATGACAAGCAAAGAACAAGAAGGGGGAAAAGACAATTCCTTCCATGTTGCTTTTTGCTTCTTAAAAGTAATAATGTTAAAAATACATAAATAATGTCTAATCTTTGCTATATACGCAGATCATACTGTAAATCTAAGCAAAATTGCCAAAGAATTTCAAACATACAGACAGTTGACAAATTAAGGCAACTGAAGTCTTTATAAATTCACTTACTTGTGTGCAGCCTGTCAGACCTCTGGAATGACTTCTTCCCCAAGCCGAGCAAAGGGTTTTCCACTTTAACTGAGGAACAAAAGCTGGAGTTTGAGTTCTGGGGGCTGCTTGACTGTCCATCAGATTGCTTTCCTTCCCATATTGCTAGGGGAAAAATATGTAGTGACTAGCGGCACTAAGGTTACAGAGAGAAATCAATCAATCAATCATTCAATGTTAACTAAATAGAGTTATATACGAGGTAATGTAACCCTACTAATGTCTTTTGAGTCTGAGAATTAGGGGTCAAAAATTAAAATATAAAACAAACAATAACACACGTGAGGAATGTGCTTCTTAGATCAGTGAAGTATACAAGATGAAATGGAGAACACCTGCCCAAAAACAAAGATAAGACAGGAAGGGACAGGAAAACTGGATGAATGGAACCAGGGAACCCAAGTTGGAAAGGGAAAGGAAAAGAGTGCTGACACAATGCGGGATTGCAACCAATGCCACAAAATAATTTGTGTATAAATTTTTGAATTAGAAACTAATTTTCTCTGTAAACTTCTACCTAAAGCAAAAAATAAATAAATAAAATAAAGCCCTTTCCTTCCTCCCAGCATACCATTTGCTCTTGGGTGTAAATTTCCTTCCTAAACGTAGTCAAAATTATACAAGTCACAGACTAAGTACGGCAGACCCGTATTATCAGTCTATGGCATCAAACTGAATTTATTTTTACATAATTATGTAATAAAATACAAAGTCTGTGTCTAGAGTAGCTCAGATTAAAAACACAACAAGTAGCAACAACAACAACAAAAATCCAAAGGCCTTATGAACATGTCCAGTGGAAACTCAAAGGTAGCATGTATTCTTAAGAAAACTTTTTATTTTTAAAGGAGAGAGTTGGTAAAGAGTTCAGTTTCAGCCTCTTGGAAACATCAGCTTTATAAGGTTACAGAGGCTTCCAAGTATTATTTGTTCAGACATCTTGGAATTTAGTCACTGATCTCATTCCTACATGCAAATTCCATTGATGTTTTTTATTAATAACTGCATGATTATTCTGCACAAAAATTTCCCCCATTTTTCCTGGGAAGATTTATATTGATGATTTGGCAGTACAAAGATTATGTAAATAAATATGATAATTTAAAGATAAATAATGTGGTATACAAATTTGGAAAACCAACACAAAAACACTGACAAAAGAAACTTCCATTAAAAAAATGCCCAATATGCCTACCAGGCTTGGTAGGCACTGAGTCACTGGTAGCTTTGACAGTCTTTAAAAGATGCTGGTTGGAGGAGATGGACATGCTTGGCCTGCATTGCTGCTGCTGCTTCTTCTGCTGTTGCTGCTTTAGAGCCTATAATGAGAAAACTGACTATAAGAAACAAATCAGTTTTTAGTAATAATAAAAAGTGACTTCTTTTTAAGTGGTAAGCATCCAATTTCTTTGAATTCTATCTAAGGAAACAAAAAACTAAATTAAACCAACTAAATAAATACAACAATGCCTAAATGACCCTTAAAGGTTGGTGGGTTTTTTTTTGCCTCTATATTATATATATATGAGAAATAGTCATTTACATATTTTAGAACTTAAAAATCATCAGTAAGCCAAGGACTTCCCAAACTTGTAGAAGAAGTAGAATCTTAACACAGACTTGTACATGTTCAATCATTTCTGTATACAGAATTCTAAGCCCTGCACCAAGATGAGTCCCATTTGCATCACTTCTATGTAGAAATGCAAATATTTAGTTTATGTATGTTTCAGATTATACAGGTTAAAATGGTTGTAAATGACTGCTTGAATTATATACCAGGTAAGAGCAACGAGATTTGGCCCAATGACCTATGGCAATGCAGTAAACAGAAGAGAAGAAAGATTAGAAAATACCGGTTCTAATAATAGTGTGATTCCTCCTGTCTATTTCAGAATATTTTTATTTCTATTATGTTATAGAATATACTAAACAACACTAATCAGCAGAAAAACTTGAACCTTCCACAGTTTTAATCCTGAAAATAGATAAAGGCAACTTTTAAAAGTCAAGGTTTAAAAAAAAAACCCCAAGAAAGTAAAGCTACATTTCAGGGAAAGTCTGGAAATGTTTTTATTTTGCTAAATGCCAGTTCAAGCTTTAACCTTCAAGACCATCATGCAGAAAAGGCAGACATATTGCTTAGACTCACTGACAACATTTACAATAGGTGAGGCTGAGGCTCAATGTGTTAGAAGTGGTAGTGTTGTCTGACCATTAACTATAGTTTATTCTCTCATTCTTTGCAACCAGACCAGAAAATACCTAGGTTATCTGAGGTCAGTGCAAAATCTATCTATTTCTGCTGTGAGCATGTAAATTCAGACACATGATAGAAGCGGAATAACTTCTGCTAATCAAGAACTGTACACAGTAGTTTATAAACCCTGTTCCTAATTCTCCTGTTTTAAAATTGAAAAACAAACAATAAAAAACCCTCATTTGTGGTGAAGGATAACTACCATTGAAGTAATTTTGCTCAGATAATACTATGACACCGTGAGCAATGACTTAACTTTGTATACCAACAATCTAATTTACTTAATTTTCCACACTGATATTCCTAAATACGATATTTGATTACAGAAGTATAGTACATGAATACAGGAGGAGCATGACATGTTCAAAGATTAGCTAATAAAGTTTAATAAAATATTTGTCTTTTCCCTGTGAAAAGGAAGCATCTTATACTTCATTTTTTTTTTTACAAAGAACTTACAAAACTACAAGTGCTATAGAATACTCAGGTAGGCAGTAATTAATTTTATCAAATTTGGGGGTATCTTTTAATTTTTGGCTTAAACACTTTAAGACATACATAATTTTAGAAAAATTTTATTAACTTTTAATAATACAGGTAATACATGAAAATATTTTTACCATTTAATTCAAACATAAAGCTACATTCTCCAATGTCCACCACTCCTAGTCTTGGTTCTCAATTCTCAGAGATAACTCTACCCATAAATTTAATTTTCCTTACTGAACTTGTTTTTTTACATATATGTGTATATATATTCATACGTCTATAAAATGTATATTGTTTTGTGGACATGTGTATGCTTTCATAAATGGTATCATGTCTTATATGTTGTAGTATAGCTTTATTTTATGATTCAACATTTCACCTTGGTAATTTTTCCAAGTTTCTACATATAGATCCATCTTATTACAAAATAAAATCAACTTTTACTCTTATATAATTATTCAGCATATGGCTGCGCCACTGTTCATTAAAGAATTTCCTAAATAATATACATTAGGCTATTTCCAAGTTTTTGCGGCTAAAAACTTGAATGCAATAAAACCTAAAACGATAAAGATCATGGAAGAAAAAATACAGACAAAGCTAGGGGTCCTAATACATGGCATAAATACAATACAAACCATAACTAACAATGCACAAACACAAGAAGATAAACTAAATAACTGGGAGTTCCTAAAAAGTAAACAGTTATGCTCATCAAAAGACTTCACCAAAAGAGTAAAAAGACAACCTACAGACTGGGAAAAACTTCTGGCTACAACATAGCCGACAAGGGTCTAATCCCTAAAATCTACAGAATACTTCAACACCTCAACAACAAAAAGACAAACAATCCAATTAAAACATGGGTAAAGAATATGAACAGATACTTCACCAAAGGAGACATTTAGATGGCTAACAGACACACGAGGAAATGCTTGGGATCACTAGCTTTAGAGAAATACAAATCAAAACTACCATGAGAGACCACTGTGGAGACTGCAACCAATGTCACAAAACAATCTGTGTATAAACTTTTGAAAGAGAAACTAATTTGCACTGTAAGCTTTCACCTAAAGCACAATTATAAAAAAAACTTAAATGCAAATATCTTTCTGTGTGTTTGTATATGTATGTATGTGTATATTTTTCTAACATAGATTCCAAAAAGTTCTTTCAGTTGTTCATGGAGTATGTGCATTTTAAATTTTAATAGGTATTGCATAACTTCTCTCCAAAGTGACGATAATAAATTATATTCACCAGCAAATTACAAATAGCTGTTTCCCCACAAACTTGCCAATGCTTGATATAATTAAGCTCTTTAACTTATCTGAGAATAAAAATAATCTGTTTTAATGTTTCTCTAATTGATATGCATTTATATTTATTAGTTATTTGCATTTTTAGAAACATTCAGAGTTAGTTCTTTGAAAAGCTCCCCAAAACAGACAAACTGTTGCCAAGCAGTATTAAGAAAACAGATCCATTATAAATGAACACTGAGGGAACAATAGGAGACATAAAAAAACACTATATACAACTTTATACCAATATTTGAAAAAACTAGGTAAAATGGGCCATTTTCTTAGAAAAACAGATTTCCAAAACTGGCTCAAAAAGCAGAAAATCAGAACAGATCAATAACCCTAGATGAAACTGAAATGCTAGGAAAACAATGTTAAGAGGTAAGATTTATTAAACTTTCAAGGATAGGATAATTTCTACAATTTTGTCCCAAACATGGCAAGCCATATAACTTATTTTCTGATGCTAGCAAAATCCTGATCCTAAAACTGTATAAGGATAATACAAGAAAATTACAAAATCCGAACTAAAATCTTAAAGAGATTTTAATAATGTATTAAAAACATACAAAACAAACGTGAGAAAAGTTACATGATCATGTCAGTAAATCCACAGCGGGGGAAAAAAAAGCCTTGAAAAATTTAACATCTATTCATGACTTAAAAAAAAAAGCAAAATACCTCTTAGGAAATTAGAAACAAATTAGGAAATTTTAAAATGTGATAAAAAGAGTTAACTACCAAAAACCTACAACAGGTATCATACACAAAGGTACATCAATTATTAAGTGACCAAATTAAAATATTGTATGAAATTTTCTCTTTAAAAGCCTAATTCTGTTGCTTTAAAGAAATTCTGAAAGATTGCCAGAGTCAGGCATTTTTAATGTAGGAGATTATATTTCTGATAAACACAGACTAGCATGATTACCTGCTTTAGTGCCTTCTTGCTGTGCTTCTGTGATGGAGAAATGACTTTACCTGCTGGAATGGAGGGTGATGGACAGCCTGACTGGGGGGAGGATGGCTGTGACAGTCTAGACGATACTAGGGGGAAAAATGACAATAAACAATTATGTCATCAGAGTTGATATCAAGCACCATTCCTTCCCCAATCATATGCTGCTACCTGTGTTAAGAACTGTGATCAAACACTTTTGGGAAGGATCTTCTTTTTGGAGTTCTACTGCAAACAGCCTCCCTTTTCAGTTTATTTCATCAGAAAGCTCTATTGAAGGATGATAGGATGGGGAAGGGATGTGTGTTAGTATTCATTACTTTCCATTCTTTAATTTTTCAATAGAATTGACTGAAGAAGCAGGAAGTAGAAACAAACTGAGAGTCAACAAATTAGATAAAATGTAGAAAAAATTCTAGACTCCTTTTGATAGTACCAATGTTCTAAAGGTAAATCTAAGGTCAGCACGATACAGTGGAAGAGCCCTGGATTGACAGAACAGGTCTCAGTTTTCCCATCTTTAAAATGAAAGCAATAAGGCCATTCCATTTCAAACACTTTACTATGGCTTTAATCCTTATATTCCTTCACCTCTTAAATCAATGGTTTTAGATTTAGTGTGAGAGGGTGTTTTGGCATTTCTCTAATAGAAGCAATGTAGGCTGTACAGGATGTATCTGCCATTTCCTTCATCATTAGCTGTTTTATAGCCTGTCAGAGTCTAGCCAAATCTCAGTCTTATGTGAACGAGGGTTCTCCCTTGAAGAGCCTATAACTCTTACAATAAATTGCAAGTAGATCTTCATTATGTTCTATTAAATTTCAACAATGTATATTATTTATAAGGAAGAACACAGAAATTACTGATTCAGACTGCCTAGTAATAAAAATACTACAATTATAATCAGTACTGCTAGTGATGACTCTCAAAGAGTACATGTTTACTATTGCCTTCCTCCTTTCATAGTAGTTGGACTGAAAAGGTCTGGGTGGCAAAATGGTACCCAGTGGTAAGACCAATGATGTTTCAGATATCACATAAAGTATGTACTTGTAGGTAGCTACCTGACATGATAATGAGGAACCATGGTTCAATGAAATACACAAGTTTTGGAATACAGCATTTCAATTTACTCTTAGATGTCTGGAGAAAGGAATACACAGTATATACATTTAAAGCCAACAACAGCAAGCAATGTTAAGAAGATGACTTATTAAGTCAATCACAAAAGGACAAATATTGTATGAGACCACTACTATAAAAATTCATGAAAAGGTTTATACTCAAAAAGAAACAATCTTTGATGGTTACGAGGGAAGGGAGGTGTGGATGGAAAAACACTAGAGAATAGGTAACTGGTAACTTTGGTGAAGGGTAAGACAGTACACAATACTGGGGAAGTCAGCACAACTTGTACAAGGAAAGATTATGGAAGCTCCACAGACACATCCAAACTCCCTGAGGGACTGAATTGCTGGGCCGAGGGCTGTGGGAACCATGGTCTCGGGGTACATCTAGCTCAACTGGCATAACATAGTTTATAAAGATAATGTTCTACATTCTACTTTGATGAGTAGCGTCTGGGGTCTTAAAAGCCTGTGAGTGGGCATCTAAGATACTCCACTGGTGTCACCCTGTCCGGAGCAAAGGAGAATGAAGAAAACTAAAGATTAGTTCAAAGGACTAATGAACCACAACTACCATGGCCTCCACCAGACTGAGTCCAGTACAACTAAAAGGTACCCAGATAACTACCACTGACTGCTCTGACAGGGGTCACAATAGAAGGTCCCGGACAGAGCTGGGGAAAAATGTAGAACAAAATTCTAACTCACAAAAAAAGACCGGACTTACTGGCCTGACAGAGACTGGAGAAACCCTGAGAGTATGGCCCCCGGGTACCCTTTTAGCTCAGTAATGAAGTCACTCCTGAGGTTCACCCTTCGGCCAAAGATTAGACAGGCCCATAGAACAAAACAAGACTAAAGGGACACAACAGCCCAGGGACAAGGACTAGAGGGCAGGAGGGGACAGAAAGCTGGTAATAGGGAACTCAAGGTCAAGAAGGGAGAGTGTTGACATGTTGTGGGGTTGTTAATCAATGTCATAAAACAGTATGTGTACTAACTGTTTAATGAGAAGCTAGTTTGTTCTGTAAACCTTCATCTAAAGTACAATAAAAAAAAAAGAAGATGACTTATTCGCATACTTAGCTTTAGCTTTGTGTCCGAGCTCTATGATAAAGTTTATACGTAAGGGAAAGAACTGACACATTTTGACATAAAACTAAGTAAATAATAGAAATAAAAGAGCAAATAGTTCAATGTAATGTATCATACAAAAATGGAGTTAGGTAATTCTTGAGATGGTTGTGCAGCAAAAAGAAACCATATCCTTGGTGTGCTTATATGCTGACCATTTTTTTTGTTTTTTACTGAGATAATTTACATACTATAACAATTCACTTATTTAAAGTGTACAATTCAATAGTTTTTTAGTATATTCAGAGTTATGCAACTATCACCACAATCAAATTTCAATATTCTCCAAAATATCTTCATACCTAGTAGCTGTCACTCCTCTTTCTCCACATCTCTGACCCAAACCTTGGCAACTCTATAATCTTAATGAATTTGCCTATTCTGAATATTTCATATAAATGGTATGTGGTCTTTATGACTGGCTTCTTTCACTTAGCATGTTTTGAAGGTTCACTCATTGTAAATGTATCAGTACCTCACTTCTTATTGCCAAATGGTACACCACCATATGCATATACAGTGAAACCTGTGAGAGCCGGAACTCAATGGAAGTGCCTTGTTTTTCCGGGTCTCGCAGGTTTCCCACCTTTGACAGGGTACATACAGTCTTACCACTTTTCTATCACTATTAGTGGAAAATATTTGAGTTTTCCTTATCTGACAGGTTTCCACCTTACACAGGTTCCAGCTTTTGCAAGTTTTACTGTACCACATTTTGTTTATCCATTTATCAGCTGACGGACATTTGGGTTGTACCACTTTTTGGCTCTTATGAATAATGCTATGAAGATCAGTCACAAACAGGTTTTTGTGTGGACATATGTTTTCAAGTCTCTTGAGTATAAACTATTAGGAGTGAAACTGCTGGGTCTTATGGTTATTCTAAGGAGCCCTGGTGGCACAATGGTTAAGCACTCAGCTGCTAACCGAAACATCGGCAGTTTGAACCCACCAGCCGCTCCACAGAGAACAATGTGGCAGTCTGCTTCTGTAAAGATTACAACCTTGGAAACCCTATGAGGCAGTTCTATTCTGTCCTACAGAGTCACTATGAGTCGGAATTGACTCAACAGCAATGGGTTTTTTGGTTTTGGTATGGTAACTCTATGTTTAACTTTTTGAGGAACTACCAAACTGTTTTCGAAAGTGCCTGCTACTATATTTCCAATCCTACCAGCAATACATGAGGGTTTCAATATCTCCACCTCCTCACCAACACTTGCTATTGTCTTTTTTATTTGACCACTGCTTTTAAAAGGACATAATAAAAACTATTAATATCTACTTATGTCTATTTTCTTTTTAATGTCTTGCAGAAATCTGACAATATGTATTTTCTTAACCTGCCCCCAAATACTGCCTGATTATAAACAGAAAACCAACCAACCAACCAAAATATCCCCATTATACAATACGAGCTCTATCCTGCAGCCTGGAAAAAAGAAACAATAAGACTATCTGTAATTACCAGGGCAAACGGCTTGGAATGTTTCCCCTTAAGGCAAAAAAGGCTTTCTAACAAATTAAACTACAGCATATCACAAAGCCAATTGAAATAAATCACGAAAATTCCAGCACCCACCAGTGAGGGAACTGACTTAATGCCAATTACTGGCCTCACAACTTCAATGAAACTTAAAAAGTCAAAGTGCTGGACAGTGTTGACAGCACATGATTTTTTGTTTAAAGAAATGAGTAAAAAACTAATAAAAATGATTTCCTATAGGGGAAGATAATTAGGTGATGTAGATAGGGAAGGAGTTAGACGTGTATGAAAGTAACTTGCTTCATAGCTTTACACAGTTTTTTTAGACATGTAAATTTAAAAAAATATATTTTCTAGAAGTCTGAAATAAACTTCTAAAAAACCCAAGTATATATCAAATTGGTTGCATAATGACAAAGGTAAGTAACTGTGGGGTACACCTTAGATGTGGAACATTCATGACAGCTCTGTAATTCTTTTTTTTCTGTAATCTCTGGCCAAGTTTTGAAAATTTGCTTCTAAATAGAATCTAAAAGATCTCTTTTTTCTCTGCTCTGGAATAGTTTTAAAAACACAGGCTTGTTTTTAAACATATGGTTGAATTCTCTTGAAAAACCATCTGGGCATGATGTTCTTTTGAAGGGAAGCACTTCTATAACTCTCTCTACTGCTATGGAAATTTATTGTTTAGATTTTCTAACTTTACTAGATTCTTTTTTTTTAATTGTGGTACAAATATACATATCAAAACATTTGCCAATTCAGTAATTTCTACATGTATAATTCGGTTACACTGATAACATTCTTCACTTTGTGCAACCATTCTTTATCCTTTTCCAAATTATTACACCAGCATTAACATAAACTCTGTGGCCCCTAAACAGCAACTCCCCTTTTTTCCTCCCTCCCACCCCTGGCAGTCACTAATAATCTTTGGTTTCTATATATTTGCTTATTTCATATAAATGAGATTATACAGCATTTGTTCTTTTGTGACTGACATTTCGTTCAGCATAATGTTTTCATGGTTCATCCATACTGTGGCATGCATCAGGGCTTCATTACTCTTTATAGCTGAGTAATATTCCATTGTATTTATGTACTATATTTTGTTTATCCATTACATGTTGTTGGACATTTAGGTTGTTTCCACCTTTTGGCTATTGTGAACAATGCTGCAATGAACACTGGTGTACAGGTTTCTGTTTGCACTCCTGCTTTGAAATCGCCTGGGAATATACCTAGGATTGAGATTACTGGGTCACATGATAGTTCTATGTTCAACTTTTTGAGGAATGGCCAAACTTTTTTCCACAGCGGCTGTGCCACTTTAACATTACCACCAGCAATGGAATGAGGGTTCCAATATATCCATATCCTCACCAACACCTGTTGTTTTCCTTTTTCTAAAAATCATAATCAGTCTAGTGGGGGTAAGGTGGTATCTCACTGTTGTCGTTAGTCGCTATTGAGTTGATTCTGACTCATGGCGACCCCTATGTGGTTAGATTCCATTTCTGTG